GGAGAAAAAAGAAAACTTCATTTTGTTAGCTATGCCTGAATGTATTCAGCTAAGTTACAGACCACGATTTATCTAATAAATACGTGTTTAATAGAACTCATCACTCACAAGTTTCCCCATTTAGGTATGCAAGCAAGTCTTTTCTGTCAGGTCTTCTTACCACAGGAATGTTTTCAGTCTGAAAGGAGAGCAGACTCAACATTAGACAGTTGTTTCCTTACAGAGTCTCTTGATGAAGATTTCTCCCTTTTACTGAACACCACTCATTCACACAAAGGCAAGAACACATACCTGCATCACAAGAAAGCATAACTATCAAGACAAAAAAAATACAATTACTATCTAGAGGGCGTCCAGTTACACAAAATGAAAAGACATTTGCTCTAAAATAAAGGACAGTCTCTTTCCTCCTTCATTTTACACTTGTAAATAAATAGTACTTTTTCAATACACACATACTTGCTTACACAGTTTTTTCCCCTTTTCCAGGGAAATCCAGACAGTTAAACACTACAGTCATTCTCTGAAAATAACCATGCAAACATTACTTCAGACAAACAGGACAAAACGAAGTTCTGTATTGTCTACTTACTGCAGCACGACGGACATAAACAGGATGTGAAAGGTGCACATTATTGAGGAGGAACAAGATAGAATCCAAAGTGTAGTATTCCCTGGGCTGACCTTCCTTCCCTGTCCTGTAAAGTCAAGAAACAGAGACTTTAACATTTAACCTCCCCAAAAGTCCTCTCCTTTCCACATAACATTATTACTGCTTGCTTTTTGAACTGACATCAGGCTATTTCCTGATGGTGTTAACACACACTGGTAACAGATACGTCTTCTTACAGCCTACTTGCTGAATGCATTATAAAAACTGTCCAAAATAAGAGCCAGGTAAGTTGTACAGCATACAGGCAAAATTTAAAAAACTATATTCTCTTCTCTCTCAAACGTGTTTACTGCTTTATCTGGGATATGCAGAAGAATGCATTTGAACTGCAAATGAACAAAGTAACATTGCATACTCTTCACATAGCACAGAACTGGAAGGTTGACAACATGAACCTCGCAGTGAAAATAAACAGACCTTTACTAACAGGGAAAAAAGAATTCAAAATACTGTGAGAATTAGTAGAATAAAGGATCTTTTTATCACTGTTCCTTCCAAAAACTTAGCCTGCATACATGCACGGCAGAGGGAAGGGCTGTATTTTGTTGTAAGCACAGGGAAAGGGATGAGACTCAGAACCACGCAACTGCTAGAAAACCAAAAGCTGGCTGAACACCTACAGCCCACAGAACTGGGTTACTTAGCAAGGAATTGTTTGGCTGTTATTGTTTCACTGTTATCTTTGATCAGGTGGCACACAAACTTATTCAGAGCAGTGCTAGAAGTGAAAGCTTCTTCCATACAGACTTGGTTCTGAAGCGTAGCGTGTATCACGTGCACAGTTGTTGCTTCATTTTAAAATGCACATTTCAGGTTCTCTCTTTTCAGACTGAGTTATTATTCCTCTGAAGCACATCACAGCCTCTGAACACTATACAGGAAGTCCAGCTGTTCACCTTTTCTAGTTTTTATTTGCACTATGTAGCAGTGAATGGCATTATTTGGAAGACAAATGCTGAGCGGTTCTCTCTTAATTTAAGAAGCCAGTATGACAATGCCAAAGGCACTGCCCAAGCTCAGCAGTGCACAGCTGGTGCTCCACCACTTGCAAGAAAACCCCACGTTCAGCATGGCTGTCAGGGGGTGTCCAGTTAGTAGGGCAGTTTTCAAGGCAAAGTGTCAGATGGACAAGCAGGGCTACAGCAAGGAGATAACAGAAGTCAGAACTGGCATTTCAGCATCACACTGTGATCCTTTCAGATTTCCCACACAGAGAATCTGCTCACTAAACAGAGTGCTAAAAACTTGCTGATATGAATGTAGCTTACTTCACTCAATTAACCAATATCAAAATAGCTAAAGAAATTAATAATCCTTTTACCCCTTATTACTAATCAATTATTTCAGACCTTGTCAGTCCAGCACTACTATTTTTTATTTGTATTTTTTTGAAATACGCAAGTCTCAATTTCTTAATACCCGTTAAACTCCAGCTTAAAAACCAAAGCAAAAGAGATGTATGTAATGCAAAAGAGAAAGTTTCACCTGGTTAGTTTTAATGGCACAAATCTATTTCCAGTTCATGCATTCACACTGAACTTCTGGGCAACAGGAGTTCACTCATCTTTTAACTGTTCCATTTCTTCTTGTGTGTTTGAAAACATAAGGGCCTGCATCCTATCCATGACAGAAAGTGACAATCCTCAGAACCACAAGATTAGACATGCAGAGTACCATCCTAACTATAACAGCCACGACCAACAGCACGCTGTTTAGAAACTTCTCAGATGTGGATATGATCCCTCTGATGGGTAAACAAGGCAGCTAAGGCGTTCTGTTAGATTGATTCCTGCTTTTGGTTTTGAAACTCATTCTACATTCACTCTTATGCAGCCAGAAGTCGAGCATTAAATCAAAACACGCCTTCTGAACTATTCAGTTATGTTCTGCGGATTCAATCTGGGAACTAACCTGGATTAAAACGAACTTGCGTATGTTTTTCAGGCTGCTTTTCAAGCAGCTCTGTTCCTCAGAGCAATGCACTGCTGGCAGCCCCTGGTGTCAGCGGGGAGAGCAGGCAGTGCAGGGCAGCTCAGCACACCCAGCAGCACTGCTGGCTCCTGCCAGCTCCGTGCTCAGGGAGCAAGTGTTAAATGTCTACTGGGACTACTTCTAATTCTAGAAGGGACAGAATGCCACCACTGCTACTCAGACTTGGATTACTCTCTCCTGACTGCAAGAGATTGTAGAGATGCAATTACAGCAACCACACTGTGGACACCTAAGATGGAAGTCATATCTGCCTCGTGAAAGATTAAGCTACTAACAACTGCAAGCACAGCTTGGACCCTCCCAAGCAATCAAAGATATTAGAGGTTTTGAATCTGAAAGATTCCTGAAGATGTTCCACGTATGACCCTGAAATTACATAAATTAACAGCTCCTAAACTATGATGTCAAAGCTACTGAGCACGGCTTGTACAACTGGTTTCATTTTCACACCTTTGTTTCAAGGACTTAAAGTACCAGTGGTTCACAAGAAACGCTATGCATCAGTAGCAGTCTGATTCTACCAGAAGTTCAGATGCCATCTTCTTGGGTGTGAACCACAATTTACAAAAAAAAAAAAAAAAAAAAGATATCTCTAAAATCTGTCAGAAGACAAGAGGAAATACACAGCTCTTATGAAGCTACTGCTTCTGTTCAGCTACACATACCCTCATCTCACCCACAATCCTTCCTCAACCATATAGATAAAGCCACCTTAATGTGCATAATCAAGTTTTTCTCTCCAGATGCTGTCTTCTTGTCTTTTGGTAATAACTTACAGGCCCAAATCAAGTTTTCCTAAGCAGCAATAGAGTAGTTTGGTTTGCATATCAGCATCTGTGTTCCTACAGAACAGGGATGAAAGTTGTCTGTCCAGTTAGCCTTTACTCCTTACTGCTCAGAAAGGCAAACTGCAGCAAGGAAAACACCCTAACTGCCCAGGGTTACTCAGCAGAACAGAACGAGGGTTTGTCAAGGACTTCAAAGCTCAGCTGCTTATGCAGATGTTTCTCTTCCTCCCCACGTACTCACCAGCATCTCCCTCACAGCCAGGAAGCGCAACTAAATCCCAAACAAGTTTCTGAGAGCTTGAAACAGATAACGAGATAGCACAATTCTAGTTTTACACCGAGGGCAAAGTAAAGCCAGCTGAAACAAATTAATTGCCTATGAACTTACCAAGGGAACAGTTTCAGTTTCCTTTCTCTCTTGAAGTACAAATCAGGACACTGCACCAACACTAATATTCTCATCATATCACCAAGAACAAAACAAATTCCTGCTCTCGGGCTGAACAACAAGGGGACTGCTTGAGAAATCTTTCAGTTCCTCTGCTTCTCTATCATGTTGTAAAGTATTCTTTTTGATCAGCAGCATTTTGTATCTAACAAAAAGCATTGCTTTCCCTCGGTTTTAAAGGCTGTGTTTTGCGAGGCTCACTGAATCCCCTACAGCGTGGATGTTAAATTATATCACCGCTTAATCGAGAAGAAAGAAGAAGTAACCTCGTGCACTGTAAACACTGCTATCAAAACCAACAAGTTCAACAGGTCCAAAAACTCTTTTTCTTTTCAAGACCCACCATGCTTGGCAGCATCGTTTACTCAGCAGGCACAGTGCACGTACGAAGAGGGACGGCGCCGGGCCCACCCGCAGGCGGCCGAAGGGCACCCGGAGCCCTCAGAGGAGCGCCTCTCGCCCCGCACCGCGCCAGCCCTCCAGCTCCCGAGGCAGCCAGCCGCACACCGAGCCCGTACCCCGTCCGGCGGCACCCAGCCCGTCCAGGCCCCGCCGCCCGCTGGCTGCGGGAGGCCGAGGGCGGCCTTTCCCGGCCGTGCGCTGCGCTCCGCCGCCGCCTCCCGCAACTTCGGAGCAACTTCTGCCCAGCTCCCGGCCCGCCCCGTCTCCGCTACAGCGGCCGCCCGCCGCCCCGCCGGCCCCGGCACTCACCCCCAAATGACATAGTTGGTCTTGACGTTCTTAGGCCAGGAGAACTCGCCGAAGATCACCTCGTCGCCCTTGACCACGATCTCCTTCTTCTGCGTGTTGTACTGCCGCAGCACGCTCAGCACGTCCGCCATCTTCGCCCGAAGCCGCCGGCCGCCGCCGCTCCGCTCCGGCCCGGCCCCTCCGCCAGCCGAGGAAGGACCCCGCCGCCGGCCGCCAGGCCCGGGGCTGCCCGCGCCGAACGCCTGATCGTAACCGACCTGCTGAGCCTGGAAAACCGAGTTGCGCGCGTGAGCGCGGGCTCGAATAACGCTTTAAAACTGGTTTAAGGATCTAAGAGCATAACGGCCGCCCCGTCTGCCTCGCCGCGGCTGCCTGATGAACGGCGGGCACAGGCAGAGCCCCGGACAGCTGCGCATCCCGCGGGGCGGTGCTGAGAGGAGGAGGGGCCTGAGAGCGGCGCCGGACCGCCGTGAGGACTGCGTGGGAGCACCGCCCCTTCCTGGCGGCCGCCATGTTCCTGCAGAGGGCGCTACTCCTGCGGGGCCGGTGGGTCGGGGGATGTGAAGGGGAGCGGCGGAACGGGCTGGTGGGTGGGGGGAGCTGGGTACAGCCCGTATCACCTCTTGAGAGAGGGTGTGGGTGATCTCGCGGCTTCCCAACAGCAGGCTGTTTATCTCCCATCTTCCTGCCTGCGCGTGGGAACCGGCAGTGCAGGGTAAGGCGTGTAGGAAGTGCCGTACTGCGGGCTTTGTGAGCCCCCGCCTCACGGAGGAATTCCGTTTAATGAAAATAGTATGAAGCCAACCTTAAAACCGGGGACTGCAGAACGCGCCGGGCGTTAAACTTAAATTTCTCTTCAGTTTTAGAATGGGAAATAGGCTGCCTACCTCTGTCGAGCTGTCTGATGCTGCTGCTGTGAATCAGATACAGGTAACAGGTGATCCTCAAACTCAGTGCTGCTCGCAGCACTGGGGTTTAAACCTTGTAAAGTTACCCCTCCCAGGTGTTTGTTGCTGTAATAGCAGATTGGTAGCTCCCTGCTTGTTTTCGTGACTGTTGGATGCTGTTAAAATACACCGACTTACTAACTTGACTGTTCTTTTGAATATATAGGAGGTAATCTCAGACAACTGCGTGGTGATTTTCTCTAAAACAACATGCTTCTACTGCAAAATGGCAAAAAAGCTTTTTGAGGGTTTAAACGTCAATTACACAGCTGTAGAACTGGATGTGAATAAAAATGGAAGCCAGTTCCAAGACATTCTTGAACAGATGACGGGTGGCAGAACAGTAAGTATGCTTTTTTGGAAGTAATATGGCAATGAAGAACTTACACTGCACATTTTCACTATGGGTTAAGCCATCTCAAGGTCTTAATTTTTGGTGGGCCATTGGGATACAAGGTCTGAAATTAAAACCAAAAACTGCAAGAGTTCTGCACTTGCTCTTACTCTTCAGATCTCAGAGGTGTTCTTTTCTATAATACCACTAAGATTATTTAAGTATCAAACTCAGTTTTCAGCTGCACATTTACTCCATTGTGTTTAACACCTATGTTTTACAATGTCTTAATTCTATGTAGCCTTGCCTGTCTCAAATTTTAAAAATTTATTACAATCTTTCATACAGTGACTTAATTCTCCTTTTGAGAGGAATGTGTGAACAAAGTCTTCAATTTCTGTAAATACAAGTTATGCAATAATACTGAAACATGAATTTGTATATTAAGAATGTAAATATTTTGTATGTATATATTCTGCAGTTTGTAAGCACACAGAACAGTACTTGCATATGTATGGAGTTTGCTTAGATTTTGTTTTTTGAAGTAACAAATGCAACTTTCACATTCCTGACAGGTCCCAAGAGTGTTTGTTAATGGGACTTTTATTGGAGGTGCTACAGATACTCAAAGACTTCACGAAGAAGGCAAGCTGCTTCCATTAATTCATCAGTGTCAAGTGAAAACAAACTCCGGAACTACTATTTAGCTTCAGTTGTCATTTATATAAAATGGGTGAAAATGCAGACAAGTTAAAAAATCACTAAGATGTACTGCAACAGCCGGGGTTAGGCAGCTTCAAACTGTGGTTTTTTGAGTCTCAAGTGATTCTCTTGACACAGACTTCATGGAACTGACACATTTGTCTTCTTGCCTCAGCTTTACCACAACAGCAGTTAGTATTATGTATCTCTTGGAACCCCAGGTCTAAGATAATCATGTCATTTTTGTTGCTCTTGCATCCTCATAACGTGTCTCACGCTGTTAACTGTCCAGGAGTTAAAAGGTTTTAAGAATCTTGGAGCTTTGGTGGTTTTTGTTTTCTGCATGAGTTTCATTTCTGGCTTTGTTCCCACCCTTACACTGCATGGTCAGTACAATGGCTCTGTGGGGGGTCATGAAGCAATTATGAATCAACAAAGTTGTAGCAATGTTGCATGTAAAACTTTTTCGAAGTTCTGCTACTTCTACACTACTTGTACTACTCATTCAAGTGTTTTTGCCTCATATTAAAAGCAGTACCTATACTTGTGCTTGTTTTGTGTTTTAACAGTATTGAAACACAGTTTTATGCAAATTCCATTGTAATTTAGTTTAACTGTAATTTATGGAAATAAGTTATGCAAACATGGAATCAATCAAGGAAGTCCAGTGGCAACATCCATTGTTCATTTTAATGGAAGCTGATATTAGGAGAAATGAGTTAATGAGTTAGCTTCATCATTGCCTTGCATAATCATTCTTAATATGATCACAGTCCAACAAAACCTTCAACCACCCAGGCTTGCAAACAGCTCCGTTGTTGTGTTAAAACCAGCTAGGTTTTGATAGTACTGAAGTACATTAAGATCTGCTGAAGATCTATATATAAGTCTTCCAAATCCAGCCAACTTGCTTTAAGGTCTTTTGTCATATATGTCTGTGGAAGACTGCAGTAGTAAGCTGTTCTCTTGTGCCAGGCCTGGATATGAATAGTGCAGGATGTCTGACTTCATTTGCCTCCCTCTATCTTCAACATCTGATCACCTCACTACTGAAGTTTACTTCTAATTGGTACAGTAAAAAGGGAAAAGATGTTTGCCATTTTAGATCCCTGGGTAACCACTTTGGTCTTTACTCTGCAGTATGAAATATCAGTCTATGTACTGTTATTCAGGAATATCCTCTAGGTGTAAGCCAGATCACCTGCTACCTAATCTGCAGCTACAGACAATGTTATGAACCATTCAACGCTATTTTGACACTTAAGGCCACACAAAACAAGTCCAATATGCATAGAGTTTATTTAGTACTTATATTCTACAGTCAAAATGCAATTTACTAGCAGTATTAACTTGCAGTTAAATGTCTAAAAAACCTAAATTCAATAGTTTCAGTAAAATGTACATCCAAAGCCAGACCAACCAATGCCAAGACTTGGTTATTTCAAGAAAGTTCATATGTCAGTAGAAAAAACCTCTTTCTTTAGTAAGAGACCATTACACTACTAAAGATGCACAGTTTAGACTAAAAATGCTAGTCAAGGATTTTTATTCAGTCTCTCCTCAAGAGAACAAAAGCTCTACATTCATCTTTAGCTAACTAGGATTGCAAGACTGTCATCTGAATTTGACAGCTTCCTTCTTGGGATGCAGGTTTGAAATAAATTTAAGTAATATTATTTGTAGAAAGTGTTGAGTATGCAGCTGGTCTGCACTGTGCATCTTTAATTTGTGTAATTAGAGATAAACACATTGACCTCATTGTGTTTTCACCATTGCATTGTTATTTTTTCTGATTTCATTATCAAGTCTTTCCAAAGACACTCATTAAACAAATGTGCATCTCTCCCTAAATTTATACTTAATAAAGGAATTTATTTTGCTGGTATCAAAGTATTCTTTGCCTATTATCCTTAGGCCAGTTATGTTTTCTGACAAGGTTAATAATTATGCACCTGGAAAGCCTGCAAATCCATAATGTAAGTACTAATGGTATGCAAAGAAATTTTTCATTTTGTTACCCATTAGAAAAAGTCCCCAAACAATAGTTTAAAATAACCCTTTGAATTCTAAATTTCAGAAGTCTCAGGGCATTGTCACTTAAGGCAATATTCCACTCCAATAGTTGAGAAAGCATGCTGTTTGCCTGCAGAGTCCAACAAGTGCCAATTTAGTACAGAAAATCATGTCTTAAGGCAATCAAAGGGTTAATTATGCTTCTTTTCAACTGCATTAAGGCTCCCCCATCCAAATATTTTCTTGTTAATTTTGTGTAATCCCATAGAAAGTAGCAGCAAGACAGTGGCTTCATTATCAGATAGCACAAAGCCACCATGTTATGTTTAAGTCATTTAAACACTGTATGGCAGCTAAAGTGTGGTTCTACTCTGGAAAAAAAAGAGACATTCAAAACCAATAATTAAAATTGTTGCTTTTTTTTTTTTATACATTGTCTCTAGAACAAAAGCTGTTTATTTTACCATAATACTTGCCTTAGGATCTGAATGTTCAAGATTACCCACTAAAATACTCTGTAATAGGAATTATACTTAAGATGAGCACTCATCCAGCTCAAATACCATCCTCCTAAGAAGCTGGAAACAAACTAAGTTATTTCACAGACAGCAGACAGAACTGCGAGTGCACTTATCTGTTCATTTCTTCCACAGAAGAATCCACAGAAGGATTCTTCTGCAAGAGTAGAACTACACTTCTACTTGACAACATAATGGGACATTTCTTTGTTATTAGTTGTGCTTAACAAAAAAGCTAGTATCATCAGGAAAACAGCCATCTTCTCCATTATTTGTTTATGAAGCATTTGTGAAGTTCCCAACATACCGCATACAGGTATGCAAATCTATATATTTAGAATGCAGAAATATCAAGAGAAACCACACTTGACAGCATCAAAAATCATAAACCCAACTTTAAGCACAAATTTAAAAGACATCATACTTTCTGCTTAAGTTAATTTTAAGTCTTAGCTCTCAGAGCAGCATTGTTTTACATTTTCCCCTTAAGTCTTACTTGGCAGTGTTGTACACTGTACTGTGTTGTGGTACACTGAAATCTCTACCATTTCAGCAAACAAGCCATTAGAAAAAATTACTCGCAACCTATCTGTATTCTGTGAACCACTGCAAACAGCTAAATAAACTTACCAACTGGCAAAATGCTTAACAAACAAAACAAAGTGCGAGCAAGACGAGTGACCTGCGCTCTGGTTTATTTCTACACATTCTATTCTTCAAATTTTCAATATTGCAGAGAAGCTGCCCATTCATCTAGAATATTCATTTACATGTTTTCCTTATTCTGCATGTAACAGCAACTTGACAATATTTAAGAGAATGGAAAGCCCTGACCCACTAAACTAATTCTGGAAAGAAGATTTACATTTGAAAAGCCATTTTTAAGTTGTTCTGTGAAAATAGTACCACTTAAATGCAAAGGCAGATGCTGGATTTTTAAAAGAATAAAGATACTTTTGTAATTTCTACAACTTTTAACACCAAAAATCTGATAAACGCAGCAAATTAAATACTCTGTTAGAGAATTATATAACCAAAGAAAAGTAAATAAAGTTGTCCAGCTTTTAAAATTAAGTACTATGACATCAGTTGTGGAACAAGTTGCTTAGCTAAGCTATCATGCTCAACAATGGCATAAAGGCAGAACACAGGCAACAGAAGAGAGGTTGAGAGTGTGGAGTGAAGAGAGATTCAAGTATAAGCTAAAGTTCACTCTGATTGGAATGATGGGGAAAAAAAGCCAACATGAACAGAGAAAAGCAGAACATGGAAAAATATGGTAATACCAAAGCCAAGCATCAGTGGAACCAACAGTAGTGCTTCTGGTATAACAGCTGCAAGTTAGGTACACGATTAAGCAGAACAGTATCTTCCAATGGAGAAAAATATTTTCCTAGTGTTTTTTCAGTTGGAGCCATTAAAATACATTTCCAAAATGACTGGTGTTCTTCTTAAGCCAAGAACACACACTTTGTGGATAGCTTTTCAAAGTCATACCCATAAGTAGGTATTACAGCCCCAATTAAAAAACAGTAACAAAAGAACAACATCCTGCCCCCACAATTATTTAACTGTGGTTTAAAGTAGCAAGTTACTTTACAGCCAGTTATTAGTGGCCATTGCATACTGGGCAGTTAAACAAGCCTTGCTAACTTTGTATCTAATCTAGACTGACCTTCAGACTTCTTTAAGCACAGAAAACTGTAAATTAAGCCCCCATGTAATTAAGTTCTACAAGCATCCCAAACCCTACTCCCCCTTGCTATACAATTCCTGGCACAAAATTTTAATTCTTGGCAAAACCGCAACTGTCTTCATTACTTATACAATGGTGACTCATTGTATTATATTTAGAAACCTTCCATATTCTTAAATGTATCACTGCAGTGAAGAAGCCTGCCCTTCTGATGTTCATCTGTAATGAAGAGCTGTAACCAGTGGACATCTCTGCCGCGCTGCCAACCATTAGATCCCTTCCTTAATGGTAAATTATAACAAATATTAGATTATGTCTTAGACTAAGAATTATTAGGGCATCACACTGAAATGACAGTCAAACTGAAAGCCTATTAATGGTGACAAGTATCAGGAAACCTGCATTTGCCCAGGTTACAGCTGCACTTCTAGACTTTTCAAATGTTTATTCGAAACTTCACCATTTTTAAGTTCTTTCCTCTTCTATTTTACAGGTAAACAACAGAGCACAGTTACAGCCCCATTTTTTGTTTTGTTCATTGAAGTGTTCCTCCAATGCAAAAGATACTATTAATTGAGAAAGTCATGTCTCCTCTTTAGCGAAAGGGCAGGTTATTTATTGTATATTGAATTATTACCTAAGTTTAGTAATTTTGTTCAGTTTTTGTCTTGTTTAAAAAAAGTTGGAGCACATTACATTACACATTACAATTACTGCCCCTTCATGTGTTCAGGTACCATTTTAGAAATTACCAGTTTATAGGAGAAGTGTATATTATAGCACATAAGTCATACTGTCCTCCTGAAATCCAGCATGCGGGCAGATAAAAAACCATCAACTTTCCCCTATGGAAAAGGAAAATGCAGCATCCTTCTTATGCCACTTAATACAAGACAGTAACAACCCCAGAAAGACAGCAGGAACAAGGGTCAGCACACCACCAAGTAAGCTGACAGCTGAAACACTCTGGTTCTCTCTCTCTGTGCAAGTTTTAAAGTAGGAGCAGATGACAACAGGATCTCAACAGTGGTAGCTTTACATTGGACAGCCACCACAAAATATTCTAACAAGATTTTTTTTATATGGAGTTATGGTAAATATTTAGGGGCATATTATGTACTCCAGCATGGATAACTATGTCTAGCATCAACAGATAGAGAGCTACATTTTCTGTAAGTTCTACTGAAAACTCACCTTCCCTGTAATTCAAGGAATTGTATTTTCAACTGGAATGACTTTCAATGTTGCAACGCTACTGTAATTTCAGTCACTGTTAATAACTAATCTTCTATCTGCAGTATATTTATGCTGCTAACTGCCAAAAGTTACTTGAAATACCAGTTCAAGTTTCTCATTCCATATTTAGTCCAACACATTTCCTATTACTTCACAAATACTACTTCAAATAAGAAAAAGTACTTGCAACAGATACTTAACCATCAGTTATTTTCAACATCTCTAGCTTAACAGGAAACATCTGATCAGTTGTTTGACTATTGTCCTATTTAAAACACATTACTACCAAAAGTATTTCCAAAACTTCAGTGCATTTACTTGAAATAATTAACATGTAAGTATGTTCATTCCCCATATTTATTATGTTTATTCAGCAAGGAGACTGCAGTTAGTAGGAAGTTTTTCCACAGGAAATGACCTAATTGTTTTTCAAACTCCAAGTGTTTGCTAGTTTTTTGTAGGAACACTTGTTTGTTTCTGTGTGTTACCTGACCAGCTGGTGCTAGCAAAGTTACTTGAAATACTTCAAGCATTCTAACAGAGCTGCATTATTATAGCACTGATAATCCAGAAGTAACTTGATTCATGATCCCTGAAAATGAACACACCTACCGGCCGCTCTTTAAGCCATGGATTTAAAACAATTCTGTTGTTTCTTAATGTCAGAAAAGGATTCCCTCGCCATTCTCATTTGAGAAGGTAAAGTCTAAGTCTGTAGCAGAATACCTTCAGAAACACATAACCTCATATTTTAGATAGCACCAAATAGATATCCATCCTACAGAACCAAAGCTTCGAATTTATAGTCAATACGTAAGAGGCATAATTAGAGGTATCAAAAGTATAATACGAGCTTGAATTTTACAGTTAAAAGCCTGCTTTTTCAGGCAGAAAAATATGGTCTTACATGTCAGTTATCAGTTAGGTTATTTTTATAAACCATAATTATTTTCAAATAACATCAAATTCACTGTTTAAAATAGTATTATCATAAAAGAGGCTGACATAAAATGTCTGATGAGAAGTGGTAAAATCAGCAATGAAAAAAACTCTAAGACTGCGATCTCCTGAAGAGATCTTCTAACTTCCCCCCCATACACACGTCTATAAACACATACACAGCATTTTAAATACATATACACAAGTTGTTATCAGTCCCTGTTCCTAAGTGGTAAGATATTCCCTAGCTTTTTCCTTCTTTCCTCACACTCTTACTATCAGAATGAAAAAAAAGAAAAATCTAGTTTCAGTCACTTCCTGAACAAGATTGAGAACGAGGCAACTGTACATTTCATAAAAGTTATTAAGAATTGGTCACTATAAACTGGAGGTAGTTTTGAAAAGCATTAGATTAAATTAAGAAATCAGAAGTAGTGTTCATCTACAAAAAGACTGTAAAAATGAAGTATTCGCATTAAGGTTATTTATGTATCATTGAATACATTCTTTTGAAGAAAGTGTAGTTGTTTCTGGTTGTTGCCACTCAGCTTTCAACAGTAGGCTAAGATGCATGCACTTGCTAATCTTCCTCACTGAAAAGCATGCTGCTGCTGCCTGAAGTCATAGCAAGTTCTGAATGTGGTTTCCCAGGCATTTCCAGGCCTTTCACTACTAGCAAATCTAAAATTTTCTCCAAAGCACACAAGTTTAACAGAGTGCTTCTGAAACTGCAGAAACTACCCCTCTAAGAACAATTTTTTTTTCCCTTAGAAATTCAGATATCCCTGATAGAAGATTTAGCATGAGCTCTTCCCCTTTCAGGTTTGTGTGTGATATTTCACTGGGTAACTTTTATACTTTATCACAGTTACACGGTCTTACGTGTGCCAGAAAATGGGTTTTTGTAGACCCAAAGTATGACAATGGAAACCGTTGAACCTTAGTAATTCACTGAAAATACCAAAATTTAAAAAAAAGGTCTAAAGAAAAACAACACTCTCAACTAACCTGCTGTTAAACTGACACTATTAAAAAGCTAAAACCACTTTTCTTTCCTGCCCCATCCTAGGAATAATTCATCAATTTACTCTTGTAAACAACCATCACACAGCAATGGGGGAAAAACATCTCAGTGTTCAGGATCTATTATAAATGAAATTAAATTACATATTGTGTAACCCCATAACTTCTAACAAACTTCCCACCATTATTTTAATTTGTGCACAACAGGAAAAAGGAGAAAAGTGACTTATCTGCTTCTCTTGCTTTCCCTTCACAAAAAGGTAACATTTTTGATATGTATATTATGTGCCATATTCTAATAAAGTTCATTTGGCCACAGGTTCCCAGGGTTAAGTCTGTTGCCAGCGATGAACCCACTGGGAAGAACATATGCCTAGACAATTAAATCAAATCCAAAATGAAGTTTTGAATAACATCCAGAGCTCCAGCATCAAAACCACATATATCCAACATGCCTCTGTCATCTGGATCGGCGATTGTAAAACCATTTGATGTCATTCCACATACAATCAATTTAGCAGGAATACTCATTTTCTAGAAGAAAAACAAAAAGATATTTTCAGAGCACAGTAATTGGAACATGCCAGAGGCCAAATCTTGCAATCCTGCATACATAAGCCATTGTCTGAAAAGGCATAGAAACTGATAGAAACCAGACATGTCATAACAAGAATTGTAGACTGTCTATTAACACTAAGTTGCAAGAGAAACATCAGTGACATTAAAATAAAAATGAATTACAATGAAGGATATTAACAAAACTTTCCTGCAATATTAAGTTCTACAGATCATTTCAAATGTCACTGTTTTCTTTTTGAAAATATTGAGATCTGATAATAATAATAATGTCATCTAATAAAAAGTCAGAGTGTATTTTTGTCTAAGGCAAGGATTTCCAAATGTTGGTTAAACAACAAAAACAGCTGTGGCCTGAACAATTCAATTACATGAGCTGAATTCGTAGATTAGCAACATGTAAGGTGAAGCAAAGCAAGCATCAGGAAGACCAGAGTACAGAAACTCCCTGACAAAAGCACAAATGTAGGCATGGGAATTAAGCTCTACAAATAACTCTGGCAGAGTTTCACCAGGCAAGTTAAAGATTTAGGTATTAATTTCATATTAGTGAATACGATAAAAAGGACAATGTCCATACACAGTTGTATTGGTAGTTTAAGATATACTAACTTAGAAACACTTCCCTTAAAGCATGAAAGATTGCAGTTCGAGTCATAGTTTTAATAGCAACGTGCTGGCAAGAAGGTATTTTTCTTAGTTCCATTTCCAAACATTGAAGCTACACAGCCTACACAGCCCCTTTAAAATATACAGAACTTTCTTCACAGCATACTATTACCTCATTCTCTACAGGCTTACCTTCATTACTTCATTTATAGTCTGGACAAATCTAATGCAGAGATCAAAGTTGAACAATAACACTAAGCTCAGAGAAATAAATTTAAGAACTTTCAACAATTAACTTATTTGTATAATTAACTTCTTAGATCAATCATACAGAATGCAGAAATTCAAATATAACCTACTTCAGCATTCACAGAATTCACAAATCCATTTAGTAACTGTATTATTTAACTATGTACAATTATTTCCACTAATTAAATCAAAGTGGAAAATATAATTTAATACTGTATGAATTATTATTTACTTCATATAGCCACAACTTAAGTCTCTAAAACATGGACAGCAGTGACATATTTTGTACTGCTCTGATCAATTGCAAGCACTCAGAAGTATATTTACCTCCCTGTACTCTCTAAGAGCTGTTGCAGGATGAGTATTTCCAGCAAAGGTCTCGTTATCAGTAAATACAATGAAGACATCAGCAGCTGTCTGTGTTTTCTGAGCCCATATCATTGGAAGGGAACAATCAGTGGTACCCATTGGAATCTTAAAAGAAAAAAAGCATATACATGGAACATATATTACAACAGAAATTAGTAAGCCACAGAGAAAAGGCTTTTTAGGTAAGCTTCATGGTTTGTTATATACAGAGGCCTCTCTTTACTAAACAACAGTTCATTTGTTCAATTCAATTCTGTTCTGCCTATTTATTTACTCTTTTTTAAACTAAGTATTGTGAACTACTAATGCCATTGTCATTACTTAATATTCAGGAAGTTTAAATAATCACTTCTGTTGAACTTTCCCTAAATAAAAGGGAGGGAAAGATTCCTGTGATTTACTATATGGATATTGTCTAAACACAGCACTAAAAATGACTGCAAACAAAAAAATACAAAGTAATTATGTAATTGCTGAGACCTCTCAACTCTGATGTTAGCAAGGGCAGTCTCCTAATTGCAATTTTATTTTATTTTAATTTTACATACTTCATACATTTTCACTAATACTTGAGGTAACGTCATATCAGCTGTCACAGGGCAAGGGACCATTTCATGTGAAAAGGCAACAACATGGGAATCCTTCTCAACACGTGCTACAGCCTGAGGAAGAGAAAGACAAAAAAGTTGTTTAGAATTTTTATTACCAAAATCAAGATACTCCCTGGTGAACACATCATATCCTTATTTAAGTCAGTGTGACTCATATACACTAAAGTTTCACCCTGTACTTTAAATATTCTGTAATTTGTGAATAAATAACACCACAAAAATCAGAGCTTAAGAGCTGTTCTAATTACTGTCACTAAATATATTTCCTTATTTCTTCTCTCCCTTCCAACATAAAACACTACATGTTTAAAACCAAACAAATTCCACTCTAATATAAACACACAAGAAACTTTACAATACCAAACAGAGGCAAAAGCAACTGTGATACAACGGAACTGTTGATAGTTCAAATGAAAATAAAAATTATCCCAACTTTTCTTAATCCAATCTGTATTAAGTTATCAACACTTCTGAATTGCTTGCTATGTATTTTCAGTTAAGCTGAGTGAAAAAGCAGCCTAAACCACTTGGATTACAACTGGAAATTGGTTGCTGGGAGGCGTTCACAGCCAGGTTGGATGAGGCCCTGGGCAGCTCAGTCTACTATTAAATGGGGAGGTTGGTGGCCCTACTTATAGCAGGGGGGGTTAGAGATTCACAATCCTTGAGGTCCCTTCCAACCTGGGCCACTCTGTGATTCTGTGATTAAGCAGTTGAACTATCAAGTATGGCACACTGTCATATCCTCCATACATAAAAGAATACCATAGAGCAGCTTCCTCCTGATTTCTAACCAGCTTTAAAGTACCTCCATTTCAGAAATGCAGCTCAATCTGCATTTAGTTATAAATAGAGAAATTTAATGCCTCACCATACACATTGTTGCTGCAACTGTGTTTGCATTCAGCACACTGCCCAAAACTTTTTGTGTCATTGATGCACTGACATCAACTGCCATTACGAAACGTTTTCCTGTTGGTTCAAGTGTCTAAAAGGAAAGAAATGAGAACATTAACAAAAAAGTTATTAATTTGTTCTTCCTTCTGCTTGCCACCTAGATGTGTTTTGGTTTTTATTTATTTTCAGGACAACATTACAGGACAACAGCATTGCCAAAAACTCAGTAGTTTCTTCCCCTCCCTCCATTTAGTAGAATCATTAAGGTTTTTGTCATCAAGTTTGAAAACTTATTCAACCAGTAAACACTTATTTTTATAAGCTTTCAGGAAATAGACTTAAGCTTAGTAAATAGAAGAATTACATTACCTCAAAAGTTTTGTAGAATGAAGCATCTAAAGCTTCTAAGATGTCTTCATCAGGACGCCACCAAAGCTTCCCTCTGCTTCCATGTCCAGATTTATAGGTTTCTAATGCAACCAATACATGGAATGGATGTATTCTACCCTACAGGCAAAGTAATTAAGTAACTTTTCAGAAGCCTGAGGCTTATTAAGAACATATTAAAAAGCAGCACAAACTAAAGTGAAGATCATAATATAAAGTCTGCTTGCTTCAGTTAATTTTGAAAAGTTTATGTAGTGGCTGCTGCTGCATAATATTTTAAATCACTTCACTTTACTCATTTACTCAGTTACAAACATTGTTTCTTTCCTCTTGGAGATGTTCAAGTAATTAATCACCACCACAAAATCTTAGGAAATTTAAATGCCTATCTCATCTTTCCTCTATGAAAGTATTATGCTACCACCTTCTTATACCTTTCTCCAGTGCAACGGTAATTACACAATTAAAGAAGCAACAGATCACAAAGAGCAGTGAGACAGGAAAAAGTGGAATTGTTGTTCTCAATTCCACTAATCAACTTAACTAAAAAAAAAAAACCACCAGAAAGTTACTCATCTCTATTTCCCAATAAATTCCTAAGGATTTCTCCCCTTCCCCCCCTTTCACTGTATTACCTCCAATGGACAGTAAATCAATGTGAAAGGATAAAGACTTCCTGTTCTGTCACTTTTTCCTCTCAGAAGCTAAGCTGATTACTTCATTCACTTCCTGAATGTGAATGAAAAGTGCCTTCCATTCACTTTTTCAGGACTGTATGGCTGACTAAATTACAAGACTCACAAACAGTGGATGAACCACCAGGCAAAGCTTGCCATGGCCTTAGTATAAGATACCAGCTGTCAGTACACTTTATCTGTAAACAAGTTCTATAATTTTTTTTTGAAGAATAAGCTACAGATTTCTTAAAAAGACACTCCTTTATTTCATAAAGGGATTACCTAAAGGAACAGTTTAGGAAGAGATTAAGAGTCAAAGGTTAGCAATGATTATGAATTTATTCATTTATTAATTTTACCTTTTTTAGCAGTTTCTCATTTCGCAGTCTTTCACATACTATTGCCACTTCTGAACCCCGTGGTTCAAGGACTGAATTTGCAGTCATCTTTCCTAGATTTCTCAACAAAACAGAAATGGGCATGTCCTTCAGCAACGCCTTCCAAACCTCCAAGCAAAGAATAAGGAAAACAAGATAAGATTTCCAAGTACAAGAACTGACACCTGCATGTTAATTAAAAGTATTTTAAAATAAATGTGCAAGTTACATGAAAATCTGTTCTGTAATTACCTACTTGTGTAAATAACTTGGAAAAAAATAGCAGAAGGGCTTTCTTTTTTTCAAACAGAAATCTTGACTTAATATTTTGAGTCACTCTAGAGATAATAAATACTCTAAAGAGAATACAAAGCTCCTGAAGTTTACCTACCTCTTTAGATTTCAGATGGTTTGTCAATAGATGTTCCCTAACGAGACCATATTCCTCTATTAAATGAATAACCTCCAATTCATCTTTTGTGTGTTTCACTCTGTCCACAGCCTCCAGGTATTTTAAAAGCTTTTCAGTCTCAGCAGAAACTGCTTTGTCTTTATAAGCTTCTTGGACATCTTTCCACCCTTTCGTGATGTATTTAGTGACAATAGCTACTCCTATAGAAAAGGAAAATATTTTCCAAGCAGGATTACAATCTTTATACTGACATCTGTCACTCCAGCAAACAAACAGGTTAGCAGGTTATTGTTGTCAAAAACCAAATGAAGAAACAATGAAAAGAATATAACTGGAACTTCCCAGATCTGATGATCAGTTCTGAAACTGGTCAGCTGCATACAATTTAAAACAGTTATTTTGTTTACTGTGTTGTTCTCCCTGAAAATAAAGAGCCTAATGGATTCCAAACCATCACTCTTCCCAATTAATGAAAAAGTGTTATTTCAGCATTTGTAAACAGACAAGAACAAACTGAGGGTATTGTATTATTTTACCTTCTCTTGACATAGGCAGAGTAAAACAACTCTTTTTACCTTGAAGACAGATACATTTATGACATGATCCCTCACACCTTTACAGTGTAATGTACACAACACAATCACTAAGAAATCATCATTCCATACTAGTGTAGACAACCAAGATCAAGCCAGTATAAACATTTGACCACAAGTATGTGAAAAACAAGTGAAGTCATAAACAATCTGACTACAAGCAAGTACATGACAACAAGCTAACTTCAATAAAAAAGGAAAGGAAAATGCCCAATGAGGGACCTTTAGGCTTATTAAGAGTTACTAACACATTAAAGAACATACACCCCTGTTTGGAAATGACACATGAATGTGACAGCAGCAATTCCTTTCCAGATGTACCATCTTCTAGCCCTATAATATGCATGTGTTAAAGATGAAACAGAATAACCAATTAGAAATTGTAAAGAGAAGTAATTCTGTAAACAGCTATCTATAACCACTTCTAGTCAGAGGTATGCTTGCTTTGCAAAGGATAGCCAAGCATCTGATTCTGTGCAGAACTGAAATAGAGACTTTTACATAGATTCCAACTCTGTGCGCTTATTGGCTACGCACACCAGACACGAACTCAGCCCCTAACACTGTTATTATTATAGGTTTAAAATAAAGTATTTTCAGGTGGATGAAAACACATTACCTTCACTGGCAGGTTTCAGGTGGGACAATCTCAGAAGATCTTTATGAGACCAACCACTTCTTTGTTTGTATTTTGTAACTGCTAACGCAACAGCCATGCCGTTCTTTCCATTGTACCAATCTGCCACAGCTTTTCTCAGTGCACGGCCCCACATGCCACACTTCATACCCTCCTTCAAATCTTTTTTAAACTGGATGAAAGTAAAGAGATGAGTTGGTATACAACAAACCTCAGGAACAGCTTTAAATGCTGCTTGTTTTGTTTTTGCATCAGAACACTGTGAACAGATCGCAAGTGCAAAAAGCAGGGGCTCTTGTCTGGCTGTTCTGCCTTCTTGACTGAATGTCTTTATTTCCTGAACGACTTCACAACCTCTGCCTTCTTCAATCAGTCTCATTAAAGCTGCTGCATTTTCAAAGCCCAGCCTCTGCTCCTTGACGCAGTAAGTACCACCTTCTGAACCAAAGCACAAGAAGCGGTGCAGTCGATTCATGTCAGTGACGTGCCACACATAACCGCTGTCAGAGTTCGGCACCTGCATTTCATTCGGGGGTTGCACTTGGTTTGCCTCGTCCTCCATTGCTTGCACTTCCAAGAGGCCTGTTGAAAGAATAGTAATGCTTATTTAAAACTACTACAAGAGCTTTCTGACTATATCCTTCTATCAGTTCTAACTTAAGTATATATATCAGATCTACACACCTGCATTTTTCTTCATCAGCTTACTACAATGCTCTAAGTGTGAATAACTAAACCCAGTGAGAGATTTGTATTTTTTTCCCTACCTCCCAAGTTACAACAGCAATGAATTAATTCCCTTAACTAGCAGTAGTTTCCCTAGGAACTACTTTATGCCAATCAGTGGTATAGAGAAAAATCACAGAATCACAGACTGGCCAGGGTTGGAAGGCACCTCAAGGATCATGAATCTCCAGCCCCCCTGCCACATGCAGGGCCACCAACCTCCCCATTTAATACTAGACCAGGCTGCTCAGGGTCCCATACAATCTGGCCTTGAACACTTTCAGGGACAGGGCATCCACAACCTCTCTGGGCAGCATGTTCCAGCACCTCACCACTCTCATAGTAAAAAATTTAAAATTAAAACACAGCTCACACCACTTTTCTTTGCCATAAGTACGTTACACTACTTTCCTATGAAGGTTTTTTGTTTGCATGCTGAATTTTGTCAAAATTGGGATCTTGTCCCACTCTGTTTTGTGGAAGGATGATAGAACTTACCAAGTGAAGAAACACAATGCTAAAAAAAAAGTAAAATGCTGGAAGAATATTTAGCCAGAAGACTGTGAGAATTTAAATATAGTGGGTTTCAGTGAGGCTTTTTTACACAATACCTTTTTAATAACTGACAGTAGCTCAAGAAAAAGAAAATACAACTGTACCACAGGCTCAAATAGACTGCTGCACCAAGTGAGACCTAAAAAAACACAGAAATTTTGTACTACTTTACATTTTTAGTAAAAAAAGCAAGAAAGCACCATAAGAATTCAGTCCTTCAGTTCTTTATACACTTCTGAGTTTCAAGAATTCCACAGAAGTATCCGTAAGCAACAACACTATTCTTACTTAAAGAACATTAGGATGGAAATATTCAGTGCATAATATGGAAGCTGAAATAAACACAAGTAGAACTCAGTTGACAGGGTAATGAGAAAAACCATTCCACAACCTCTATCTTCATCAATCAGTCTTTAGCTGCTGTATTTCCAAACTCCACATCTGTTCCTTGATGCAGTACACACCTCCACAGTCCACTATCACAGAACCACAGATCTTAAAGATCATCCTGTTCCAATCATCACTATCACCACTGTTCCCAAAACATTCATGAAACAACAATAAATACAGTTTCCTCAGTTCTCACTTAACAATAAAAAATGTTAAATAGCTCAGTTACCACGCTACACACACATAGAGCAATCTAATCTCTACATAAGTATGCACACATACCTGCCTTTGATGTGCTTTTCCGGATGATGAAGATGAATGTAATTACTTCACGAGGGTAAGCACACATAAAGAAACGCCACTAACAAAGAAAGAACTGTTCTTTCCAATTTAGGTAAGCAAAACACTGCACACTGATTTATGACTTCTCTTACTTCAAGGGAATTACCCTTTCTCTAGGAAAGACTAGAGATGCACCCTTCCTCCATTCTTGAATATCTACAGTGATGTGCTGCCTGCATCCAGAATTAAAAAAAAAATGAACCACCAGCAGCCCCCACTACATCCTACAGACTACTAAAATAATAAAAACAGAACTGGAATGATTTAAAAGTCAAAAGCTTAATTAAGAACAATATAATAACAGTGAACATGTGTATTATTACTATCTAGCCCGCAGTGGGGATCAGCACTTAAATAAGAGAGGTGAAGCCAGGCTCCACCCCTTCCAGTCACACAGCTAAACTGCCTTCACCTGTGGGTGACCAGGTCCTTTCCCCAGGTGCTCAATCAGTGGTTCAGCCCATGACTCAACAGTTCCCATACACTAACGTTTCGTAAAGACCCAAACAAAAATCCAGAAATCACAGTCAGAGTGCATTAGTACATTCTTCAGGGGAAATAAGCCAACAAACTAAAAAACCAACCAAACTAAACACCACACACAAACAAACAGAAAAAAAGAACTCCCAGCCATGTTAACAGGTAATGGAAAAACACTATTATCCTCAAGGGTAACTAAGAACAGGAAGCATAAATGATTGTGCGTGAATAACTAGATCTTCACAGAGATAAAATCTAGAAAATAATTTCTTATTGCAGCTTCCATATCTGTGTTACAATGTACATTACAACATTAAAATGAGGCTAGCAAGAAAACACTTCTCACTCACTGATGGGTTACCAAGGCTTATAACAAACTGAAAGGGCCACGTTTCCACTTAAACAAAATGCTTATAATACATTTATCCAAAATGATTATATTAGAAAAATATAAACACACTTCCTACTGTTTTTATACTTCTTCCTATGCTTTCAATTCATATGGGTGCTATTTAATATCCTGTAGCAGAAATGCTAAGCCACACCTTCAAGCAGTGATTGAGCACCTGGTGGGAAGGCAGGGCCAACCCAGGGGAACTCAGGTGTGTGCAATAAACCTGAGTGATGGAAGGGGTGGAGCCAGGATCTACCCTTCCCAAACCTCATTTAAGGGTTGGCAGTGGAAGTGAGGGGATCTCTTGCTGGAGATTGCTGCCTATTTGAGGTCTTCCTAAAGGTAAGCAGCTCTTCTTTATTTCTGCTTTTGTGGCTGCTGCACTTGGGTTCATTTCTATTTAGTATAGTCAAAAATTATCATCATCCTATTATAGCATTTTATGCCTCCACTTTACTGTATTTTTTCATTCAATGAAGTTATGTTGTTCTTGTATGTGTAGTTCTATCATCATTATTACAAATCAGCTACTGTTACCCTCACTTGAGAATGGGAACAAAGCTTAATTGGAATAATTCTCACACTTCTAATTCTACAGATAAAATCATAAAACATGTTGAACTGGAAGGCACTCATAAGTGCCTATGATTGTAGATAAGATCATAAAATAGTAAAGGTTGGGAAAAACCTAACATTCATCTGGTTCCAATCCCCTTGCTGTGTGCAGGATTGCTAAGTGGGTACCATTTCAGGCTGCCCAGGATCCCATCTAGCTTTGAACCCCTTCAGAAATAGCGTATCTACTATCTCTGGGTAGCCTGTACCAGGGCCTCACCACTTTCAGTGGAAAGCTTCCCCTTGTCATCATCTGCATTTTTTGGCACTTGAGATGCCTATGGAGGCTGCTGAACCTCCAGGCTAGGTCACCAAGAATAGAGGTTATATGTTTCCAAGCATAATTCCTACAGACCTTCTATAAATATACAGAGATCCCTTTAGATCCAAGTAATTGTCTTGAAAGAATCAGGCCTACCACTTATTTCAAACCACTCAAATTGAGCTGCTTTTGGTATTCCAGTGACACTAATTTCCTTTGGACCAGTTTCTAGCATGGAAGCCACAGCCCTAGTTTGTTAACAATTTTCTCAATAAAAGGGCATATTTCCAGTAAATATTATTCCTACCATTCAAAATGTAGAGGCTAGGATTTCCCTCTGTTACACTTACTGCAGAATTACAGAACTGTACAAGTTGGAAAGGACCTCTGAAGACGATTCAGGCAAATTTTATTTTTCCAAATAAATCACCATTTAGGTGGTTTATTGAAAGGAAATCTATGAACAGTGTAATGTGATGGAGGCCCAGGCTGGTGACTGAATACACCCTGCAATGGACTGTGGGGTTCCTGACCAAGGGGACACAGCAGCAGAGGTGAGCGATGCAGAGACACGGCCCCAGGACAGTGAGTGGGGAGTAGGACCAAGGAGGGTTTGTTGCCCAGAGGCCGGGAACCACTGCTGCCTGCCTCTTGGGCAGAGAGTAACCACAGCTTCTCTCTTTGGCAGCCATGACACCTACCTGCTGCAGTGCCAGTGAGCACGCTCAGGTTATGGCCTGCAGAGCCTGTCTTCCTGGAGCCAGAGCTGCCTTGGGGGACTTAAAAGAGTGGTTCAAATCAACCGAGTGTCCTGGATCCTAACACAAATTGTAAGTTTTCTTTAAAAGCCCTTCCTTATTCGACACTGAACTATTTAAATCATACTGGCTGCTTCTTAATCCTGTTTAGTATTTCAGAGTACCAAGCTCCTGAAGCTATTCCATCTTGCTAACTAGTTCCTATCCTCTGCCCACACTTCAATGTTAGTTTCCTCCTTTCACATCTCTAAAATACAGACGAATCTCATTCTTGCAGATGGCTAAATGCAATGCATCGAATGGGTGCTTTACCAAAACCCTGCTGCTGTTTCTGAGCTGTAACAATGAATGTGAATTTCAAGCCCTCATGGAAAATTCAGCAGTACTATTCTGGCTCTGGAGTATTTCCAGCTTCTGAGTTACCTGAATGCAATCAGCAGTGTGAAAAGCCTTAAGTCACAGACTAAATATAACAAGAGGAATGAATGAGTATTGGTATGAACCTGCCCAGCTTGAACATGTTCAGTTCCCACTAAGAGGAGAAATATCATCAGTGAATATCCATGATCCACACTTAAATGTTGAAATTAAACTAGTAGGTTTTAGTAAAGCATTGCTATCAATTCATTTCACTTTTGTATTTTTAAACACTTGTAACTTCATGGAGTTTATCAAAAGAAAAAATATAATCTATCATAGAGTCTTCTTGAGAGGAAAGTAAAAACAACAGTAAAGGAATTTATGTATTTCAAGCATGATATAAATTAACCTCTAAGCAAAATATGGTTTTGCCTGGCATGTAGCAGCCCATATGGAGCTTAAGCACTGAGTGGCACATCAATAACCATATATTACCTTAACAATTGAGTTTCAGAAGCTGACCTCTACCATATTTTCTATGACTGCTACAAATCACTGCTGGTTTTCGTAAGTCATGCCATACAATGCAAGTTTCAGTTACATGTGAAAATAATCCATCTGGAGCAGAAAGCTTTAACAGAACCATAGGTTTTTAGGCTGGTAATGAAACAAACTTTGCAGTGAAAACATGGAGTTTGACCAAGTTTGATGCTTTATTAAAATTAAAAAAGCCTGTAAAGTTTAAAGTCAACATTTAAAACTGTCCTCAAAATCCAGACATGCTTTCTGTGAGAAACTGCGTTCTCCCCCCTGCTCTCATTAAGGTGAGCTCAGCACTCCTAAAGCACAGCGGAGCCCTGACAGAGCAACGCGAGTGCTTTTGCTACGAATCAAGCATCGCTATCTAAAGAAGAACGTTAACGACCCGTGACCCAGATGACAAACGGAGAGCCCTGCAGCCGACACCAGACTACGTAGGTCACGCGTTCGCTGCACAGCCGCCCCGCAGGACCCACCGGGAGCCCGCAGCCCGCCCGCACGGTGCAGCAGCCCTCACCCTCCCGCCCACCGCGCCACAGCCGCCCCGGGCCGGGCGCTGCCACTTGCCTTGAAGCCGCGGGGCGGGACCCGCCCGGGCCGGCTCGACCTCCGACCCCGAGCAGCGGCGCGATCCCGGGGCGGATCCCCTCGAGCGAAGGAACCCGAAGGGCCCGACGGAGCCGGGGGCGGTGGAGCCGGTTGTGAGCGCTGGGAGCGGCCCCGAGCGGGTCCCACACCCCCACACGCAGCCCCGCCCGCCGGCGTCCTGACAGCATCCCCGAGACCCGGATGGAGCCGCGCCCACCGCCCCGCGCCGCAGCGCTCAGTGCCCGGATGGAGTCGGAAACACTTTGTGCCCGCCGCCGCTCTGACCCGGAAGTAGTTTCTGCTGATGACCCGGAACCGCTCGTCGCGTTCACTTCCCGCTCCCGCCCTGCCTCACCATAGAGATGCCAGGTGCGGCGTGCGTCGCGGGGCCTGCCGGGAAGGGAGTGGCGCGCCTCGGCCTCGCGGCGTAGCCGGCTGGCGGCACCGAGAGCCTGAGGGCAGCGCGCGGGCCGCCGCCATGGCGGGAGGCAGCAGCGCCGGGGAGTGGTGCCTCATGGAGAGCGACCCGGGCGTCTTCACGGAACTCATCAAGGGCTTCGGTGAGGGAGCGGAACCCGGGGAGGCGTTGTCATATTGCAGGCCTTACAGCGAGCAGGCCCCGCCGCAGCGCCGCCGCGTGTCTCCGGCTGCGGCAGCGCTCGTAGGGAGCGGGCCGGGCTGCGGGCCGTGTGCGTGTCTGTGTGTGGGCTGTGAGGAAGGCGGCTGGGGAGCAGGGTGAGCGGCGTGACTGTGCAGCTGGGTGACCTGTAAGGGGCTGCCCTCGGAACGCTGGGTTTTACGCTGGCTTCCAGTTAACGTGTTTGGCGGTAGTGCGGTTACACAGCTAAGTCTAGTCTTACTTCTCCTGCGTTTGTTTAGCGTTAATCTTCCATTTATTTCTGGGGGCGGAAAAAAAAAAGTTTTTACAAAACTGCTTTGTAATGCTGTGTATCCTAAAACACAAGAATAACCATCTAATTTACTTACACGCTTTGATATCTATTTGTCCCTTGGTGTGGATCCACGTAATCGTAACAATCTCTTCCAGCACTCGAAGATCAAAAGGCAATTGAATTTTGCTGAGCTCCTGGTGAAATCGGTAAAATTAGAGCAGGCCTTAATTTGGTGCTTTCTGTCTGTTGAAATTTAATAGTTCACACAAAAAAAGTAAAATGATGCATTTGGCGTTTAAAATTTACCTTGTAACAATGGAAGGAACTTAGTGTGTGAGAAATGGTTCTCTCAAAAAGTTTACATGAATTAATGAGCTTGGCTGTTCTCTTATGCTGCTGCAACCAGAAATCATGAAGCTGTTGCTGGCTTATGACCAGTGAGAGTGGAAAATAAAACCTTGGTGAATGTCTACAAAGAGAAAATAGAAGAAAACAGGAATAGAGCTGCTTGGGTAAACGACTGTTTGTAAGGCTGGATAGTGATTGGACAAGGGGGAATGGTTTTAAACTAAGATGGGGAGGTTTAGGTTGGGTATTAGGAGGAAGTTCTTCACACAGAGGGTGGTGATGCACTGGAACAGGTTGCCCAAGGAGGCTGTAGATGCTCCATCCCTGAAGGCATTCAAGGCCAGGCTGGATGTGGCTCTGGGCAGCCTGGTCTGCTGGTTGGTGACCCTGCACATAGCAGGGGGTTGGAACTTGATTATCATTATGGTCCTTTTCAACCCGGGCCATTCTATGATTTTATGATTTTTTTTTTTTAATTAGTTACATCCCTTCTAAATGCAGTAGCTAAGGAAACATTTCTTACTTCTGTTTTTTTTTTTTTTTTGTGCAGGCTGTAGAGGAGCACAAGTAGAAGAAATATGGAGTTTAGAACCGGAAAACTTTGAAAAATTGAAGTAAGGAACTTTCCTTTCTAATTTGTATGTTTTTTATTTATATTTGCGTGAACTGTCTGCAAGAAGCTTGTCCTAAGCTTAGGCGGTGGATGTTCAGCTTGCACTGAATTGCATCAAAATCTGATGTAAAAACCTAAATAACCTTTTATTAATGCTTTGTTTCATTAATTAACTTTTCTGTTTGTGGGTGGAGCTGATAATAGCAGCTAGAATGTGAGAAGAGTTTTCTAATGATTTTAGAGTTTGTTTGCATTGCATCGTTTGAGGAGCTCCTATTATCTTTCAGTATTTTATGTTTAAATGGAGTACTGAAACTTTCATTCCATTTCTTATGTGTGATTGATAAATAGCTATCAAAATATTTCCCAGTCACTCGTAGGTTGTGAAGGGTGTTTTGCACCTATTATCATTACAGTGACCAGAAAAACTGGTCTTGACTTGCTAAATGTAAATTCAGACTGGAATTGCTTAGCTTGTATGGAAAGAAGCCTTAAGTACATTCTCCCTAATTAAAAGGCTGTAGCTGAAAATTGCAGTGCAAGCTCCCTGTGTTTATAAATAAATAATAAACAGGATTACTGTAACAGCATACAGTTAAACTATCATAGGTGTTTTTGGCTTTACTATTTTTTCTTAATACATCTATTTTGTTCACTGTTGTTTTGTTTATCTGTGGTTTTTTTTTCCTATGAATTTGATATTTTAGGCCGGTGCATGGGCTGATATTCCTTTTCAAGTGGCAGCCAGGAGAGGAACCAGCAGGTTCTGTTGTTCAAGATTCCAGGCTGGATACAATATTTTTTGCTAAACAGGTACAGCAAGTTTCATATTTTTGTTAGACGTGTCATGAAACAGAGCACTTAATATGGAAAGATAAACCAGCTTTTTGTTAAAATGTACACAGCAATTAACACTTTTCTAAGCGAAGCAACTTTAACAAATCTTGTAAGACAAGATGCTACATGCTAGATGGCTAGCAAAGCAAACCTGATCTGCCAAGGCAGACAAAAACATAATCAGGTATTGAAACGTAAAGCTCTTATTTACTTGCCATCCCCCTCCTTTAAGAAGAAGTAACTGTTCTGTACCATAAAGAATTACTTAGTTTTCAGCAGAAGAAACAGTTTGTTTTATTTTTGGTTTGTTGTTTTTTTTCTTTGAAACTACTTTCAACAAATCATAAGAAAAATGTTTGTTCCAGTCAAGGTCTTGTCTCTTGTGTTTCTCAAATGCTCTGTAGTTAGGTCAGTATAATTCTAGGATTACACTTCAAGGCTTTATGGACTGTTTTGCTCTATACATTTTAAGTCTGAAGTATTTAAATCAGAAAGTTTAAAGTGAGTTACAGGAAAAATAAGTGCTTTCTGTTTGTGTGAAGAAATCTCCATGTGCTCCTAACTGAAAGTAGAAATGTGAAAAACAACAGAATCAATATCTGTAGCTCCCTGGTTATTCTGTATGTGTACTTCTCTTAGGTAGATAATTGTCTTTTATTAGTTTTTGTTATTGTGTGGGAACTGTTGAGTCGTGGGCTGAACCACTGATTGAGCACCTGGGGAAAGGATCTGGTCAGTCCTGGGAGCACAGGTGAAGGCAATTCAGCTGTGTGACTGCAAGGGCACACCTCTCCTGGCTGCACCTCTCTTAGACCTTATTTAAGGGCTGACTCCCCACTGAGAAAGGATCTCTGGTTGGAGATCCCTCCTTGGTGACATTTTCTGCTGTGAACCTGGAATCTTCTGATACAGGTGAGCAGTCTTCTTCCCTTCCTTTATAGCACCTTTCTATTGTTCTGGTCCTTCTGTCATCACACCTTTGTTGTAATGCCTTTCCCATCATATTGGTCTGTCTAATAGCTACAGTTATAATCCTCCTACGTTACTGTTTAATGCTGTCATAGATGACTTTATTGCTTGGTCTATTTTAATATGATTTTATTTATGTAGTTATTTCCCTACTGCACATCTTGAGTCCTGCCATGCCATCTTTCTTAGGACACAACAATCAGCATCAGTTTACCTTTGTCTTTACAGTTTCGTAGGTGTCATAGGCACTGTTTTAGGTTATGCTTTCTGAGTAATTAAACATTGCTAGAGATCAATAGCCTGTGGCTATAGAGTAGCCTTGTTGCAAGCAAGCTCAGCAAAAATCCTTGATGCAGCTCAGGTAGTTACTTGGCAGGAAGAAATGACTGATGTGAATCTAGAGAGGTGGCTTTTTCTCAAGTTAGAGTGGATTTATCATCATTCAAGATATTTCATCTTTTTTTTTTCTCTCAGTAAATGGCCTCTGAAAAGTTTCCAAGCTTTTGTTTGCTCAACATTGTTTGCTTCCCCTGATACTTCTCTTTTTGAAGTATGACCCCATTTGAAAGTAAGAGTCTAAGAAGGGTCTTGAGCTTTAAGTTTTGCATTGCAGAATATACTTCAGAAAGTCAGGGTAACGTTAGGCTTGGTAACAAGAACATGAAAAGTCATAAAGCAAACAATAAAAAGCTTTGTCTTCTAGAGTTCTTTGAAACATTTGTATTTTTTTATTAAACCTTAAAATGTTAAAACTTCATGTTGTGAGCATGGAGGAACTTTTTGCATCTTCACTTCTCCTGCTCTCCTAGAACCTGTTGTCCTTTAAAGTAGATGTGCTGGAGTGAATCATTAAGCAATTTCCAGGCATGTTGATCTGGTGATTTGCTGTTGATATTGATAAGAATATAGGATGTCCAGGTCTTGCAAGCCTATCTCCTTTAGATGCATGATTCTCGCCATCTCTTGCAATGGCTCACATGCTCATTGAACTTCCATGGCCAATTCATCTAGTCAGCAAGCAGTTTTCTATAGATTTAGTGTATTTCCTGGTTTAATCTCCTGCCACTTTGTGAGATGCATTTGGTCTGTCAGCCTGTACAGGCCAGAGCTGGTAAAAGATAAGTAGTGGTAACGGGTGACTTTGTAATAGTGATGATATTACTGTATTTCTTGAAGCCACAGTCAGTAAATCTTGCTGAGTCCATCCAGAAAAGAAGATTGGCATATTAGATACTCCTATTGTAAGATACCTTCTCCAGCTATCATACAGCATGTCACTTCTCTTTTTCCCCATAAAACTTTAAGGCCAATTGCATGCTGTGGCTTTGAGGGGGAGAGATATCTTTCCATTTTTTTTTTTATTAGTAGGATTTGTAACATCTGAGGAAAAAATGATGACTAAAATAATGTCATTCATTTGTGGGATGGAATGTCAGAATCTCAGATGTCTTTTTTGGTTTAGCAAAGATTTTTGACTTTTGGTCTGCTGATCTGTATCTCAAAACTGAAATGATACTGAAGCGCTGAAAAATCTCAGGAAACCTATTTGACACTTTTTTCCCCCTCCTCATACATTATTTTTTTTTAAATGTTAGCATCTAACGAGATCTGATACATGCCTTCTGACTGCAGAGAAGTTCTAAAGTAAAATTCTGAGTCCTTTCTGAGCAGGACTAAGTAGCTGTTAATACAAAACAGCAATTTAGTATGGAAAATAAGTGATGTTATCAGCAGTGTAGCTCTGTTGCACTTCATTGTTAATTAAATATTACATTTCTATATTTTTTTCATTTCGGGGGGAGAAAATCTTAGGTATCAAGTGCTATAGACTCTAACACTGTTTCCAGCAAAGAAAAAGCTTACAAAATTGTATTAAGAAACTATTTTTGTAAGAAGCTTTTACATGCTCATGGTTTGGTCTTACCCACTTCCATGCCAATATGGTTGCTGAATTCTTAATGCTGAAGTTGTCTGACATTAAATCATGAGTATGTTGGGAGGGAGGGAGGAGTTAAATTTTCAAGTTTGTGGAGTCTGCATGCTTATTAAATGGTTTGGGGTTTTTTTTTTACTGGTCAGTTTTATGCACACTCATCTTAAATTTGGCCTCCCTGTTATGCCTAGGTATGATTTGGTCCTCTATTTGAGGGCAGAGAACTCTGGATGGTCTTACATACCCTTTGAGCTAGGATACCTAGGCACAATGAGGTGAGTTAAGGATCCAATTTCAGCCTTAACTCTGATTTTCCTGATTTCTGTGTTGCATAAGTAGGCCCTTGCCATTATTTTTACATGCAGTGGTTATGTGATTGTACCACTCAATGTGTTTAGCTGTTGTCAGCACTGTTTAGAATAGCAGAGTTCTGTGCAGATCAGTGTAGAAGTGAAAGCATCTTTTGACAGAAGATAAGGCCATTGCTGTAGACTTTCTTACTAAGATTTTTTTTATTATTCTAATAACCCCTTCAGATTTTTTTACTGAAATACTGGCATAATGCCTTTATTTTGTGCAGTGTATTTATTTTATGCTGCACTGTGATGGTAGAACACTACAGTTGTGATAGTAAAACAGTAAATTAATCAGGGAGGAAATCTGCACCTGCAGAAGCAGGATCCTATTAATGATACTGTTAACTACAAATCAAAGTTTTCTCGCTATCTTTGTGCTACTAATTGGAGCATATTGTGTGCTACTTTATTTTAGTGTTTTCAATGCTACAGTTGTCTACAAACTCAATTCTTTTGTTCTTTGACACTAACAATTTGGTAACGTTAAAATAGACCAAATATCTATGTTAAGGCTAAACTTGAGATTATAGATAACATCATAAGAGGTGAACCTGCAATGTACCTGATCAAAATCAGATAAAGATTTTCAGTAATGGAATACAAATATGGGAAATATATATATATATACATATATATAATGTTTTTTATTCCAAAGAATGACTTAAATAGGAGTTTTAAACAGGAATAAGTTTCAGAACTTAGTCCTAATGCCCAATTCTTTTATACTGGACTTTATCCAACCTACTGTTTTGTAATGTGCTTCTTCTAAGTGAAGTCTTGTAATCTGCCAGTTATATTACCAGTTACAGCACAAGGTTGCTTAAAGGTGTTGTGGTTTTGTTTGTTTTAAAGCTAGTCCATCAACTGAATGTAATTTGTGATCTTAAAGTAGTGCAACCTTAAACTGACCCAGAAACTTCAACTGGTTTTTTAGACAGAGGTGCCTGCTTATGAAATTTTGAGTCTTTAGTGAAAAAGTATAACAAAATAACATGTTCAGGTATGTCCTTGCAGTGGTTTGTTGTAAGCTAAGCTCTGCTTGGTGATACAGCACTTTTCTTGTATGTTGGAATCTGGCTTCACATCTGAGTACACAGATATTTGTGGGGGTTTCAAAAATGCGTGTCTGCTTTAAGTTGGAATCCTGAATATTGATGATTTAAGTAACCTTTCCAGGGCTTTCTGGATAGAAAATACTCAGGCAAGTGTTGGGATTCCTGGGCAAAAGCAGAAAATTCTAAAAATCAGGCTGAAAAATCTTTCTAGGACAACCTGCATATTCTGTCATGCAATATAAAAAGTAGAAGATATTTTCAGTGTATGCTGAGACACCTTAAGTCACAGAAATACACTGGAAATTAAAGTAGATGGGAATCCTCACTGTTTCTCCCTAAAAGCATGTACTGGGTGGGTGTGTAGCAATGTTGGCCTGGCTGTGTGCTCTGTTAGAATGCTGTGCTGTAACAAGCCTTGCACTTGTGTACCATAGGTACTAAGATCTTTTCTACTCTCCACCAAGGTACTTCTTTCACATCACCTAGGTCTAGGAATGTCACAGAATTGCAGGGGTTGGAGTAGACCTCAAGTGATCAAGTCCTTCCCCCCAGAAGTCCTGCCTTATTACATCTACCATCTGCACCACCTTCTGATTCACGCATGGAAATCTTTCTGCTGCTTATTCTTCCTGCCTTGCAGTTCTGGAGAGCATTTGTAGTTCTGTAATATGTTTCCATTTCAGTAACGCTGGTCTAAGATCTGCATTTATTCTGTGTTTTGCAGCAGTAAGACAGGATAGTTTAACATTGTTCTTGTACACTTAAGCGGACTAATTCATAGAGTAGTTAGAATACAGAGTTTGTTTATGCTGAAAGGCAGATATTGAATGAGGCCACTAATCCATGTTAAGCTTGTTTTTGCTGTTATTTCAAGCTCCTTTATCCAGCTGATCCAGTTTCTGAGCTGATTTGCCTCTGGACTCAAAACCCCTCTCTTACTTTCCTTTCCCTTTTTGAATTCGCTGTTGGATTGATGGTCTGTCAGAGCACCTGTTCCATCTTGATTTTTCAATAAGGATCATCATATAGAGCATTCTCTGCCTTTCATGATCTTTATTAGATCCTATTCTATAGGTGGAAGATAGCTGTGGTGTCCGTTCATTCAGATAGCATGCTCTTTACCACAGGGATCACTACTGTCTTCTCTACTTCTTCTGCCTTTCTCTGTCAGCTTATTTAATACCATGTTTATGCCACTGTTTCAGATTAGCTCTCTGTAATGTACAGGAGATCTTCCTGCTTTCATCCTGAAGTTCTGCAGCCTTGTCTGAAACCACTCCCATGTCATACGACAGGCAACTGTCAGTTCTTGGTACTCTTTCCCTTGTTATAATAGTAGTTCTTTGGAATTATGTCATTCTGTTAGGCTGTTGTTTAATTTTGTTCTGCTACTGTTCATTGCTTCACTGCCTTAGATTGACTCCCCTCTGTGCTCAATTATTACATAATTGTGTGAAATCCAGCCATTATCTTGCATGCCTGCAGTCTATTTAAATTTCCTCAATTTCTGTAATCTATTCTGACTCACGTGGCTATAACTTAAGACAACCAGATTTTCCTTAAACTAGGAAGTGTTTTGTTTTTACTTCATGATCTGCACTACGGACATCTAATCTGAATACCATGAAGTGTATTTAATACAGCATGTAGTGCTAACATAGTTGGATTTCTTTGAAGATGGAAACAAGTAATGTCTCTGAAGCCGTTTCTGGAGTAGGAATGGCAATGCAAAGGATTGTGGAGGTTAACAGGCAGACACGTTGCCTGATTTATTCTGCCCACTTTTGATGTCTGTACTACAACTGTTTGCAATCAGTGAGAATTTGGTTTTGATTGTGAAAAGTTGTTTGTGAGGGGAAGTTTCCTTTTTCCTCCTTTCTTGTTGGAAGTGATTTTGTGTTTGCAGCCCCAAAATGATTTTCATATATTTCACACAAAATCAACGTCATTTCTGCCAGTCCTAAAGGTTATCATCTTCAATTGCAAAATAGACTCCTGGCTCAAAAAACATTAATTTTCCTAGCCTGTATTTCCCTCAGGAAAAAACTGAGATGTCTTGTATTGTAACTCATAACTTTATTGTATTATAGTCACTTTAGTATTCTTCTATACTGTATTTTAATGTGGATATTATTAAAAAAAAAACAAAACACATTAAAGGCATTGCTGGAATATGAAGAGTTTTGATTGTGTTTTCTAACAGTGGAATATTAAGCACAGATTTAAGAAACAGTTATACAAAGTAGTAACTTTGGTTCAAAAGGGTAGATGTATTGCCAGTTAACAAGGATAAAATCTAAATTTTCATATGGCTCTTTCTTTATCAAAACAGTCTCTAAAAGTATAGTCTTTATATCTCAAAACGCCTGTAAGTTTTATTAGCTTATCCCTTGGATATTTGATATGTTTTATCCTGCATTATTTCTTAAAAAAAATATAGAGAGAGAGAGAGATCGTGTTACATGTTTTATTACCCCCATATAAATATTTTGGGGGGCTCTTAATTCCTTTGGGAATTCTGATCATTCAAAAGAAACTCTTTACAAGGATGA